GCTCTCTCACACACACACACACACACACACACACACACACACACACACTCTCACTCACACACACTCTCACTCACTCACACACGCGCACTCACACACACTCTCTCACTCACACACGCGCACGCACACACACTCTCACTCACTCACACACACGCACGCGCGCGCACACACACACACACACACACACACACACACACACACACCTGAGCCCACTCCCACTAGTATTTGTAAATATTAAGCCGCAAAACGATTCATATTTAAATATGAATTCTGCGTGTCTCGGTGTTAATGAATGGCGCAGACGCACGGTTTTGACTGTTTCATCTGAGCAAAACTATCATCATGTCTTACACACACAGAAACGTAAAGGTATTCACGGCAACCCGTCAAAATAAACGTTCGGTTTAACTTGAAGACACTGCTGCAGAAATATATCACTGTTGTTGAGTAGAATGTACGTAACAGACCGCTACTACTACAACTAAAATTATTAAAACCTTATTTTTAAGGATTAAGCATATTTCTTCAATGTTTTAATTGTAATATTAAATTACCTTTATTTTCCAAAAAAATTAATGTGTTTAATTTTCATTACTTAAATTAACGTTTCATGCCTTAAAACTAAATGTAAATACACAACACAGAATTTCTGAGCAAAAAAAATCATAAGGCTATTGTAAGAATAAATGCAACTTGTTTTATGCTTTCAAATAATTAAGACACGCTAAAACAGAATTTGGTTACAATAAAACATAAGGTTGGACAAATAAAATATTTCATAGGGCCCTAAACGTAATATTTGTTAAACGTTTAATAATTTGATTTTTGATTCATGATTTTAATTAATTAGACATGCTTTTTGATTAATAAAATGTAATTTAACCATTAAAAAGGACGAGAAAAGGCCGTAAACCTAGGGGGAACACTGTAAAGGCTGTTAATGCTCACCTTGTGATCCGGTGCACAGAGCATGCACATAGCTCTGCTCACTCAGCACCTCTTCCTCCTCCTCCTCCTCCTCCTCATCCTCAGCTCTTCTGGATCTCTGCTGGGCTTTCAGGGTCACCAGCGTCTGCACGGATCCATCCGCCGCCTTTATATCTAGAACCACAATGCAAAACTTTGATCAGTACTCATAAAAACACACATTTGCACATAGCTCTGCTCACTCAGCACCTCTTCCTCCTCCTCCTCCTCATCCTCAGCTCTTCTGGATCTCTGCTGGGCTTTCAGGGTCACCAGCGTCTGCACGGATCCATCCGCCGCCTTTATATCTAGAACCACAATGCAAAACTTTTATCAGTACTCATAAAAACACACATAAAGTATCATATATATATATTAATAAACTGAAATTAATTTTAAAAAACATATCAATAAATAATAATGTATAACATACATTAATAAACTAACTTAAATAAATAAATACGCAAAAATAAAATATTTTTAAATATTATATATAAAACAAATAACAAAATGAACAAAGCGTGATATTTTAATACACTAAATATATCAGTAAGTGTATGAATATAAATACACAACTAAACAAAACAGAGCAATAAATAAATATAGAAAGTATAACATTAATTACGTAAGCAAATTAATACTAACAAAATGAACAAAGCGTGATATTTTAATACACTAAATATATCAGTAAGTGTATGAATATAAATACACAACTAAACAAAACAGAGCAATACATAAATAATATATAAAGTATAACATATTAATTACGTAAGCAAATTAATAAATTAATGTATATATATATATAGTACTATAAACCATAGTACTACAGTATTACAGAAATGACTGGTTATACAGTAATTTATAGTTTGAAAGTAAAAGCAAATTAAGTTTTGTTTAAACGCACAAACACCGATCTTATGACCGCTTTAATATAAAACTGAGGAGAAGCGCTTTTAACGTTACCTCGCCGTTTCTCTACAATATGATCCAGAACGTCTTCATCGGCGACGAAGCGGAGCTCTAACGGCTGTTTCTGCGACATCCCGCGACTCTGATCGGTGATATCTGGCCCACACATACACGCTTACTAATATCTGTTTCGATAATAAACTCAATCTCGCTCGCTGGAGTCCTGAGGTAAACTGCGCTCGACTCCGCGCCACAGGAAACAGTCCCACCCACGTGGCACAGGAGGAGGGTCACGTGAGCCGCGCCGGCCAATTAGAATCAGGCTCTTTTACAAAAAAATACATCTCCCAGAATTCAAAGGTCAACGTCGTAAATAAAAAATATTTTTATTTAAATTTTAGTTCAATTATGTCTGAATTTATTATGTCTGTATAGGTATTTA